ATTAATTTTTTTGAGTGAATTGCATGAGTTAACTGAGATTAATCAACAGCCCAGATAGATAGATAGATAGAATGAATGAATTTTGGATGAGATTTTGTTTATTTTATCAGTATTTATCAGACTTATTTAACATATTATAGGAGAGGGCTGGAGGAGGAGGGAAGACAGGAATGGATTAAACAAAAGAAAAAAACAAGGTAGGGGGAGCATTACAGGGCAAAAAGTAAAAGGCATTGGGGAGGAAAGAAGGGAAAGAGAAGTGTGACGGGTGGTAGTCAGGTGCCTCATGCCCCGGGTATCCCCAGGAAAGCATCACAGGAAAAATTCAGAGAAGAATGGAAGGCAGGTGGAGTGAGGCTGAAGTGAAGAAATGTGAGGGAGGGGGTTGGAGCAAGCAACCAATCAGCAGAGAGGAAAGTCATGTTTTTTGCATGCAAGATTTTTGGGAGTGACAGAGGTTATGTCTACACTGCAATCTGAGGTGTGTGCACAGCTTGGGTAAACATACCCATGCTAGCTTTACCTGCACTAGCATGCACAAAAAGGCCGTGTTAGTAATGCAAATAGGTGCTGAGGGACCCCGGCATGCTTGTACAGCCTGAGCTGAAGCCCATGCCACTGCATATATTCTGCTATTTTTAGCCAAGCCAGTGAGGTTACAGCTAGCGTGGGTATGTCTACCTGAGCTGCAATCTCACCTCAGACTTTAGTGTAGATATATCCTAAGAGAAATCTGGAACTGGACCTGCAGGAAAGGAAAGGTGCAAGTAATGTATGGGCTAAAACAATGCAGATTCAACTAGAAATGTTTTAATAAGGAGGGAAAAAAACTCATTCCAGTTTGTAGTGCACTTAGACACAAGTGCAGGGTTACATTGGGAATTTATAGTAATCTCACATTATTGTGCTAATACCAAGATCCACTTGACCAGGTTAGTGCCAGTAATAAAATTTCAAATCTTTCCCAGTAGTCTAAAAAAAGTAATAGTGTTATTACGAGAGTGTGGCTGTATTTAAAATGCAAAGTTTTCAAAAATGTGGGCTGTTTACTAAGCCTGAGTAAATGGTATTTCCCGGTTTAGGGACATTAGGACTGGTCTATGGCCAAATTCCTTCCTAAAGTAAAATTGCAATGTGATGTAAAAGATTTTATAGTCACTACATCTAGTTACAGTATTTGTAAAGCTTAAAATAAAATAAAAAATAATAATTAGTGATCAAAGAGGAAGCTGCTATCTTGACATTCTGATGATAATATTTTATATTCTGGTAGCACTCCCCTCTAAGGATCTCAAAGAGCTTTACAGACATTAGAGCTTGCAGTCTAATGGGGAAAAATATTTATGTGTGGGATGGGACTTCCAATTTTAGGTATTACGGTGGTTTGGGTTTGAATCCCATCAGTTTTATACAGCCATTGACAGATAACAGAATGGATTAATGGCACCATATTTGACAAAGATATGGCATAATACAAACAAGATCCATATCCCATTCTTTTTTATTTTAGCTTTACATAGGACATTCAGGTGACAATGGTTATAAAATATCACTGGTCGTTGACCTGGATAATTTGGTGCAAGCCTTATTTGGGGCTGGTAGATCAATTCACTTTATCATCAGGATATAAAACTAACTGAGCAATATCTGTAATTCTAATGAATGAAAAATTAGTAGCAACTGACCAATCATCTTTTTTTATCTTGGAATCTGAGACGGATAAAATAACTTGGGGTTGAATAGTCATATGACCAAAGTGCAGTGACAAACTCAATCCTGCTTCCATTAAAGTCAATGGCAAAACCCCCATTGAATATCATAGGAACAGGACTGGGCAGGAGGACAGTATAGGCCAGTGTAAATGATAAAAAAGATTCAGCAGATTATTCTATGCTGAATGGGTTCTTCTAGGTTACAGGTGGAGGAAGTATAAGGGTTTTGTTTTGTTTTTTTGGTTACCTACTTAAATCTTTATCTACAATTATCCAGATAATTGCTGTTCTTGTGATTCTAATGAACCTTTTGCTCATGAAGTTAGGTTATGCAATGAGTTATTATATCCAACAATTAGACAAGTCTGGATACCTATATAAAATTCCACCAAATCTGTGTGAATTTAAATTTCCACATTTCTTCCTTCAACACTCTACAAAGAGATTCCAGGTTAAGAGATGATTGGAAGGTAGAGTGTTAGATAGATGAGCTGATCATACTGGTGATTTAATTTATCATGAACAAATTGTCTCACTAGTCTCCACTGCAGCATATATTTAATATGGTATAGTACAAAGATATGGAAAATTACAGGGCCAGAACATGAAATCCTGACTCACCCTGGAGCTAAGCAACTGAGTAACTGTTCAATAATGTGTTTGTTTTATATATATATATATATATATATATATGACACTTATTGAGATTTTTGACTG